CTCCCTTCCCCTAGCCCCCCTCCCCCACCTGCCCCCTCCCCCAATTCACCATCCCCTTCCCTCCCGGTCTCGGAGGACCCCGTCGTAGCCCGACCTGTCTCGGCCTGCAACCTCCGCGAAGCCGTCGGTGCCACTCCCCGCCCATGTGGGCCCCCACGGACAGCCAATCCCCTTTCCCCAGCTCCACTTTCGCTTGGGCTCACCCATAGCTGAAGGGAACTTTAAGAACCCAAAGCTCCCGCGCCCCTCTCTGTAGCCTTTCCTGCCACTCGGGGCCCCCGTCCCCCCTCCCGGCGGCGGGGGGCTGCCCCCGGGGGGCTGGCGGAGCTGGGCCGCGGGGGCCCCGGGGCCGGCGGTGCCGGGGTCATCGGGATGATGCGGACGCAGTGTCTGCTGGGGCTGCGCACGTTCGTGGCCTTCGCCGCCAAGCTGTGGAGCTTCTTCATTTACCTTTTGCGGAGGCAGATCCGCACGGTGAGCCGGGGTGGACGCAGCTGCGGTGGGGACCCTGTCCGCGGTGCTCGCGGGTTGTCGGGAAGTGTTGGGGCCTAGGAGGGGTCCTGGCGGGGCTTTTCCCGCTGGAGAATCAGGACACGCTGAGCGGGGCGTGGGGTGGAGCCGAGGGAGACCCTCGCAATAGAATCGAGACCGGGGGGTTTGGCAACTCTTGGGGGCTCGAGTGGTGGGTGGGGCGCTCTTTCAGAAAGCTGGAGTTGTTGCTAAAGAGACAGAGAGGCGGGGAACACCTGTTTCATGGCACCCAGCTCTGTTGATGTAGGCTTGTGAGAGACCCTCCTGTTGGAACCTCCGGGTGTGTCTGGTCTGAGAAGGAAGACAGGGGCTTAGGTGTGCAGGGTGGAGGCCGGTGGGAGGACATAGGTGGCAAACAAGGATGGGAACTTGGGAAAAAGGCCTTGGTGTGAGGGAGCAACCCCTGCGGCTCATTAATGGAACTCCTCCCAAAAGGCCCTGAAAACTTATTTTGCGGTGTGTATCTGGATTTATGGAGACCCTGGGACTAAAAATGAATTTATTGATTTTTTTTTTTTTTGAGATGGGCTTTGTTAGGCAGGGGAAAGGAGCCTAGCACAGTTTTGGCTGTGCCCGTCAACGCTGAGGCCGGTCAGTTGTAAGGGCTTGAGTCGGCAGCTGTGTTTTCCAGGAGACCCTCGCGGTGCGAGGGATACTGTGGGGGAGTGGGGGTGTGTGCGTGTCCCCAAGTATTCCTGGGTCTCCGGGGATGTAGCTTTTCTCCAAGGTCAAGGCTCCTTCTGCTAACATCATTTCATGAATGTGCCCTGTGTTCTCATCACTACGGAGAAGGAGCGCCTGGAGGGAGCTGAGGGAGCCGGGGCACAGCAGGTCTCTGGTCCGTACTCTGGCAACAGCTCAGTGCGATGGGAAAGAGTCAAACCAGGTCTGGGCGGCCGCGGTCGGGAGTTTCTCAGCAGCCCTGGGTGGATCGAGGTAGTTGATTTAATTGATGCAGGGGGATGGGCCTTTCTCTGGGATCATTCTTTCCTTTACCAATCTACTTCCTCCACTTCCTGATTTAGGGTGACAGCTGTCCTGGGTGCTTGTGGTTGTAGGCAGGGCCATTCCCCTGTGACAAGAGCTGGGAGCCGAGAAAGTCCAGGATGCTGAGGGCTGTGTGCGGGGAGCCCCTGGGTTTTCTTGATGTGTTGATTGCCATCGTCTGTGACCCTGTTCTGAGCGCACACCCCCACCCCCCAACACATCTGTTTCCTGGGTACAGGGAGTCGTGCTCCGGCCCATCTATTGGGAGCTCAGTCACTTGCAAAGGTGCACTCTTTAGGGCAGCACTGACCCTACAGCCGTTTGTCCTCCCTTCCCTTCCAGCCTGGTTCCTCCCCCACCCCCTTTCTGGCAGATGCTTGGAGCATTCCCTACATGCCCAGCACATGCAACCCGAGATAGCAGGGCAGGACACGGCCCAGGGAGAAAGGAAGGGCAGAGGCCTCGGGAGGAGGGGGAGACAGCCCTTTGGTCTGCGAGGGGCGAGCCTGGTTCTGGTGCGGCTTGGGGCCCTCGCGTGGACAGAAGGGTGTCCGTGTCTTAGAAGGAGCGCGTGGAGGAGGGCGTTGCCAGCCTCTGCATGGGGGTGTCCTGGGTCTCGGGAAGCAGGCGCCTCCAGAGAAGCGGAGCTGGGAGGCTGAGGCGCGACGTCCTTACCCTCTCGTCACCTCTCGCTCCCAGCCCTCACGTCCCTCTGGCCTGCTCCACGCCTGCCAGGCAGCTTGGCAGGTGGGGGTTCCCCGCGCTCTCTGCCGTGCCCTGGCTAGCGGGCTGAGGAGGCTCTTAAGAGGCCTGAGGTCCTCAGCAGCTTGTGACTTGGCCAGCAGCGACAGAAGTGGACAGGTGGCTGGTTAAAATAGGCCTGGTGGCCCCCTGCCAAAGAACTTAGCTGACCTGACAGCCTCTGGTTCCCTTACCCTCTGTTCCCCGTAGGGCTCCAAAGACCTCCTGTCCTGACCCCTGTTCCCTGTCCACTAAGGAGTAGGAGGCTCTCCGTTCCAACGTGAGATGGTGGGACCTGCCACCAAGGGCTCTTGGGGTGAAGGAGGGGGATGTGTGCGTTTCTCTGTTCCTCGCTGCAGGATAATACCATTAAGAGGACAGGTTCTTGGGTTGGACTCTGTGTGGATACAATCCAGACCCTGCCCCTTCATTGATTTTTGTTGTTGTTGTTAAAGATTTCATTTATTTAAGAGGTAGAGTTGCAGAGACAGAGAGAGAGTTCTTTCATATGAACCACTGGTTTACTCCCCAAATGGCAGCAATGGCTGGAGCTGGGCCGATCCAAAGCCAGGAGCCAGGAACTTCCTCTGAGTCTCCCACGTGGGTGCAGGGGCCCAAGCACTTGGGCTATCCTCCACTGCTTTCCCAGGCCATAGCGGTGAGCTGGATTGGAAGAGGAGCAGCTGGGACTTGAACCAGCACCCATATGGGATTCCAGCGCCACAGGCAGAGGCTTAGCCCACTACTCTACCGTGCTGGTCCCCCTTCATTGATTCTGCTGCTACTGACCACCCTTGGTACAGTGCTCTTGATACTGGGATACAGCCCTGACCAACTCAAAAGCCAGAGTTTCCATTCTAATTTGGGAGACAAATAAGCTATTTGCTAGCTGTGTGACCTCAGGTGAGGTATTTAACCCTTCCAAGCCTTGGTATCTTCATTCTTAAAACAGAGACTATTACAGGATTGTTTTAAGGATTATATGAAATCGTCCCCAGTCACCGACACAGTGCCCGGCCTGTTACTGCTGGCAGACAGTTCCTTGTCAAGTGTGCTAACCCCCTCTCTCGCTGTTCTTAGGTAATTCAGTACCAAACCGTTCGCTATGATATCCTCCCCTTATCTCCTGTGTCCCGGAATCGGTTAGGTGAGTATGCAGGCCGGGAAGACTCCTGTGTCGGGAATGTGTGTCTGTCTCTGGGCTGCACGTCAGTGGGCCTTATCCGTGCCATTGTGGTTCAGCCCAGGTGAAGAGGAAGATCCTGGTGCTGGATCTGGACGAGACGCTCATTCATTCCCACCACGATGGGGTCCTGAGGCCCACAGTCCGGCCTGGAACACCCCCCGACTTCATCCTCAAGGTCTGTGGGGGTTGGGAGTAATCAAATGGTGACGTGTTCCTTTGCCCAAACCCAGACTCCCTCCCGCAGTCCAGGGCCTCTGGTTCCCATCCCCTGGCACCAGGGTCAGCCGGGAGGAGGGTGGGAGGCCCAGGCTGCCTGTGCTCAGGTCCCCTTCCCGCACCCCCGTTCCTCTGCAGGTGGTAATAGACAAACACCCTGTTCGGTTTTTTGTACATAAGAGGCCTCACGTGGATTTCTTCTTAGAAGTGGTGAGTTTGTGGGAGCTAAAGGAAACTCTGAGGAAGGAATGGTTGGAGGGCTCTAGGATTCCGGGGGGGGGGGGGTTTGGAGGTGGGAGTGAGGAGAAATGGATCAGAGCGGTTTTGGAGAGGGGCGGTTGTGAGTAGCGAGGGGATGGCTGTCAGAAGCTTGGGTCCATTTGTCGCGGTTAGATTCCGTTCTTCCCTGGACCTGCTGCTCCTCTGTTTCTGCCTCTGAATCGTGTGGGTAGACAGTGACATTGGAGGTTTGGAGGGTGGTCGGAATTTTTTGTGCCCAGATGGACAGACTAGTGTGGTGTCCTGGGGAAAGAGAACCGTGGGTCTGAAAGGAATGAACACCGCATACAACATCTCCCTTTGTCCTCATCCATCAGGTGAGCCAGTGGTACGAGCTGGTGGTGTTTACAGCAAGCATGGAGATTTACGGCTCTGCCGTGGCAGATAAACTGGACAATAGCAGAAGTATTCTCAAGAGGAGATACTACAGACAGGTAAGGACTGGAATCCAGGTCCGAGTGAGACTTGGGAGGCAGGCCATCAGGGAGGGTGTGGATTTGAGGCCCTCTCCCTGGACGGGGCGTGGGGCAGGCACACTACATAATCCCCTGCCTTCCAGCACTGCACTTTGGAGTTGGGCAGCTACATCAAAGACCTCTCTGTGGTCCACAGTGACCTGTCCAGCATTGTGATCTTGGATAACTCCCCAGGGGCTTACAGGAGCCATCCAGGTAGGTGGTGAGTCTGGCAGCGCCAGGGTATGGTTCTGAGGAGGTATTGTGAATGCAGAGAATTTGGAGGCTGGAGATCCGGACCTCGGTCCTGGAGAGCTGAAATTGCCTGGTTGATCCTAGATCTAAACGTGTATCTGTCTGAATGCAAGTTGTCCTCTATTTCAGATAAGAACCCCCCTTCCCATATGTCATCTCATAAATCTGACTTCTCCCATTTGTTGTAAGTGAGGCACAGTAGCAATAAGTTTGACCAGAAACCTCACACTGGTATGCGATCTGGTGGTTAAAATCCCATTCGATTTTGGAGGATAAGTCAGGAAGGTTTTATTTTGATTTTGGGATGAGGGAGGTGTGTGTTCATAAGTAGTGATTCCTCCTTGTCCCGCCGATATGAAGAGACAAATACGGTCTCTCTTGAATCTTGCGTTTTTCCTCATCTGCATCTTCTCACCCTAGACAATGCCATCCCCATCAAATCCTGGTTCAGTGACCCCAGCGACACAGCCCTTCTCAACCTGCTCCCAATGCTGGATGCCCTCAGGTGAGGGAAGGGGGCTCCAGACGGTTGGTTTCCCAGGGAAGGAGGCGGTGGGAGAGCCCGAGAGGGCATACAAAGTCTGTTTCAGCATTTGGACCCAGGATTTCTTATTTATTCCCCAACTTGTCACGTTTAGCCTTTGGGTTTTGGGCAGATGGAACCCACCTCCTCTTGAGAAGTTGATGGCAAATTCTGTCCCACATCTCCAGTGAGGCCATGGTGCACTGGCGCTGTGAGGACGGGAGCTGTAAAGGAGGCACTCTGCTAACACACGTGATTGTCACCCTAGGTTCACCGCTGACGTCCGCTCCGTGCTGAGCCGAAACCTTCATCAACATAGGCTCTGGTGACAGCTGCTCCCCCTCCACCTGCATTGGGGTGGGGGGGAACGGGAGGGCGAGCCCTCGGGATGCTGTCGGATGCCCTGTCCAATGTGAGGACTGCCTGGGCAGGGTGTGCCCTTCCCACCCCTCGCTGCCCTCGGAGTCTGGATGGACACACGGGCCAGGCTTCCAAGCAGCCTCACTCAGTTCACGGTCACACTCCATGGAAACCCAGACTGGGACAGGCCGAGGCCTAGGAGAACCGAGCCGTGTCTGGTGGAGACAGGACTGGCCAGAGAGACAGACATACCGTGCGTGACCCAGGAGGCTCAAAGAGAAGCCGAGTCAGCTTTGCTGTGATTTGATTTTTTTTAAAACTCTTGTACAAAACTGATCTAATTCTTCACTCCCGCTTCAAGGGCTGGGCTGTGGGTGGGAGACTGGGGATTTGGGTCACTGGATCTCCCCTAATTTACCCTTCCCTTACTTTCCTTCTATTTTTCTCTCCCTAGATTCCTCAGACCTGTAACCAACTTTATCTCTTTTTTTCCTTTCCTCTCTTTTAAACCATGCATTATAACTTTGAAACCAAAGCTGCCCTAGATCCTTCTCTGGGGTTCCGGGAACTGAAGGGAGGGGACAGAGGGGTAAGACACGGCTGTATCCCAGGGCAGGAGAGACCTGGGCGCTGAGCACCGGATGGCGCGGTGAGCCGGGTGACAAGATGGGCGGCGCAGGACGCCGGCGAGCGGAAGCGCCCCCGAGCAGTAGGCTATAGGAGAGGAAAGGAGAAACCCGGGGCCCTAAAGGGCATAGAACTGGACAAAGACCAGGGTTCGCCCGGGGACTGAAGCAGATAAGCTCAGCGGGCGCTGCCCCCGCACCTCGCTGACGCAGGCGGCGCCCGAGCCCGCCCCTTGCGCCCCGGGCGGCCGCGCCTCCCGAGCCGGCCCTACTTCTCCACTCGCCACGTGACGCTCCGCCCTTCTCTGAGATCACATGATTGTGCAGTTGCACACCCTGAAGGTGTTCCTCCGCCCTGGCCTAGTCCTTGCTTTTCGGCCCTCCTCTAGTCCCCACTGGCCCACTCATTCCTGAAGCCCAAGTATTTTATACATGCGTCCAAACATCGGTTTCTTTTCTCCACTTTTACTTCCGGAGATTCGCCGCCGCTTAGGTACTACTTTGTTTTGGTGTCAACGGCCGCCTTCAGCGTAGCGGCAGGTTCTGTGAATAGCTGTCCTTGAAATTGCTCTTCCTCTACGCTATTTCCGAAAAGAACGTCTGCCGAGTCAAGTCTTGTATCCTGGGCACCCCCCACTACCCTTCGCCCCCAGCTCCCGAGAGGGGAAGGTTGGGGAATGGGTTTCAATTATTTGCGGCGGGAGTAAAAGCCCACCAGCTTCGCTGCGTCGCTTGCGTAGCTCGCAAATTAATTCCAAAGCGATTACGCTGATAGCGTAAGCGGCGGTCAGTGGGTGGCGCTACGCCAGCTGCGTTGACGCCGCTGAGCTACTGGCGTATCTTAGCAGTTAGGGCGGCCCCTGATGGTCGGGGGCGGGGTTGGTGAATAGGGAAGTGGCGCAAATCCGTGGATCGCTCCGCCGCGTCTGCCCGCGTCGCCTCCGTCGCCGCCGCCCCCCGTCCCGGCCCCCCCTCCCTGGCTTCCCTCTTCCCAGCCCGGTCCAGCCCGGTTCCCGGGAGGATGAAGTTCGTGTACAAGGAGGAGCATCCGTTCGAGAAGCGCCGCTCTGAGGGCGAGAAGATCAGAAAGAAATACCCGGACCGGGTCCCGGTGAGGAGAGTGGCGGGGGCGCGGGGCGCGGGGCGCTGATGCTGACGCCACAGCCTGAGCTTGGGTTCCGGACGGGCAGCAGCGGGCTCAGGCTGCTGGCCACGGCGGGGTTGGGAGCGAGCCTGAAATGGATGTCCCTGAGAGCGGGAGCGAAAGGACCCGGGGAGTGGGAGAAGTGGAAGCAAGAAGACGTGGGGCAGGAGAGAAGAACCTTGGCATTCGTGAGTGGAGGCCTTAGGGGGCTTGACAGCCCGAGCTTCCTGGGGCCATCCCCCCACCTGGCGAAGTCTGTGGGTCCGGACGAGTCCTGCCCGTCTGGGGAAGAAAATTGTTTATTGTGACGCCCTATTCGGGGCTCGTCCCGAATGTTAGGGTGAGCTCAGGCCAGTGGGGCGAGGATCTCTGGACTCAGGGCTGCCCCATGTATGCAGGGACAAGAGGAAGGGAGTCTGGGGTAGGTTTAGGGACTGCTGATGTTGCTGCTTGAGTTCCTGACAGGTGGAGCAGCCGGGCGGTGTTCCTCATGTGTCCCCATTTTCCCCTTCCCGATATCAGGTGATAGTAGAAAAGGCTCCCAAAGCTCGGATAGGAGACCTGGACAAAAAAAAATACCTGGTGCCTTCTGATCTCACAGGTGGGAACCTGGTGGCCCCTGGGTCTGCTTCCTGTGGGTGGGAGTTGAGCTTCTGGGAGGCGGCTCCACTTAGCAGCTGTTCATAGGAGGGCAGTTATGACCCTGTGACTCTCTTGTTCCTCGTATGTTTGGTAGTCGGTCAGTTCTACTTCCTGATCCGGAAGCGAATTCATCTCCGAGCTGAGGATGCCTTGTTTTTCTTTGTCAACAACGTCATTCCACCCACCAGTGCCACCATGGGTCAGCTCTACCAGGTATGGTGTCTCGGAAGGAGTAGGGCTTTGGACTGAGGAGTTCTGAACGGGAGAGCTTGAGGGGGAAGATGTGTCGGGTCAGCAGTTCTTGGATTAGCCGGCGAGCGAGCCTTCACACTTCGTGACAGTCCTGGGGTGGAGATCTGGGACAGAGCAGAGGGAACAGAATAGAAGGAAAGAGCACAGTAAGCGGGAGGAACTGCCCTGGCCAGGGCTCTGCCCCGCTCCAAGGCAGCAGAGAACTCGTTGAGATCTTTTCTGCCCAGGACTGCTGCAGGGATGATTCTCTTGGCTGGAAGGCTTGGCGTGTGTGTGTGGGGGGGGGGGGGGACTGGCCTGGGGGCTCTTGCCGGAGAATGGTTCTTGAAGAACGGGAGCAGTGGATGGTCCGAGTAGCTGAAGCCTGCTTTTCTGCTCACACCCCCAGGAGCACCACGAAGAGGACTTCTTTCTGTACATTGCCTACAGTGACGAAAGTGTCTACGGCCTGTGAAGCTGCTGCCCCTGAGGTGGGGGGTCCCCCCTGCCTTGACCTCCCCTCCTCCTCCAGGCTCCAGCACCACCTTCTTTCTCCAGGACCTGCACTTACCGGCGGAGGCTTCCCTCCCACCCTTAGCAGGAGGGGTCATGGGAGCCTCTCCTCTCTCCCCCGTTCTCCACCCGCCTTTCCCACTCTGCTTTAGACTTCTGGATTGTCAGTCTCTGTTGCACCCAGTGATTGTTCTGGTTTCTGTTCCCTTTCTAACTGCCCAAGGGGTTGCGGACCCCAACAATCCCTTCCTTTCACTACCTTCTTTTTTGGGGGTAGATGGAAGGGACTGAAACTGGGGGGGAGATAGGAGGCGCATCAATAAAGAGGAAACCACCAAGCTGAATTCGGCTTATTGTGTTGATGTTGGGCTTTCCCCTGTCTGCATAAAGTGGGTGCTGTTGCTGTGGAGCGGAATCCTCTGATGTTTTAGGAAGCTGGTTTTGATACACGTGGGCTGGGTCCCGATGTAAGAATCCTATTTTTCACTGTGAGTCCTGTGGAGAAAGTTCCAAAGTCCCTGCTTTAGATAAACACACCCAAGTTCGTATAACATTCTGGATTACAGAAGAGATTTTCGTGTATGCGAGCTGGTAAAAGGACTGACCCCAGCTGCCTGTCCCTTGGCCGGACTTGCGCCGGCTGTGGCATCCAATGGAGTGGAATCCGAGGGACGGAGTCTTTCATCACCGGGAGGACTTCATCTCCCAGCAGCCATTTCTCCGCCTGGCCGGAAGTGGGGCGGTCCCCGAGGGATAAAGAAGGTGCAGATTGAGGCAGTATGGTGGCCGAGAGATCTAATCCCTTCTTCCTCTTCTTTCTTCGTCCCGCCCAGCCTACATTTCCCAGTAGCCCGCGCGCACTCTTCCGCCCTGCCTTCTTGCTCCCAATCTCCCCGCCACTCCCCGGGGGAGGGGAGTGGCCTAGTGCGCCTGCGCCATTGTGTGGGTTGCTGGGAACTGAAGTCCTGAAGGCGCATGTAGTCCCCTTTCCGCGGTCCCCATACGGACTACAACCCCCTGGGTGCATTGCGCGTGGGCGCCGGCGCGGGGAGACGGGGGAGAGAAGAAGAGGGAGGGAGGAGGGAGGGAGGAGAGAGGGGGAGGAGGGAGCAGGCGGCCGGCGGCGCGGGGGGAGGGGGCCCGGTCCGGGAGTGCGGGAGGCTGTGGTAGAGGGAGGTGGCGGCAGCGGCTAGCGGACTGGAGTCTCAACCGGACTGAGGCGGACACTTTTGTGGCGCGAGGCGGAGAAGCACCGAGCACCAGAGGCGGCACCGGGATCCCCGGCTCAGGGGAGGGGGCCGGCGGACCGGGAGGAGGGGAGGGGGCGATGCTGGAAGCCATGGCGGAGCCCAGTCCCGAAGGTGAGCTCTCGACCGGCACACAGCGCGGAGCCGGGGAGGGGGGGGCGGGCGAGGAATCAATTGGCAAACTTGGAGGTCTAGCCCCGGAGCCCAGCGGGGGAGGACCGGGAAGGGTCGGGGGCCTAGCTCTGGAGGTGGGAAAGCGACGAGTTGAGAGACCTTGGAGAAAGGAGTGGGAGACTGGGTTGGGTAGTTGGAGATCAGACACCGTGTGTGTGGCGTGGTGGGGAGGACGGGCGGTAGGAGCCGGGAACCGGCGCTCCGTGGGTTAGGGGTCGAAAGGGCCTCCGTCTGGCTGGGGCCCTGGAGCTGGGAGGCTGGGGGGAATCGGGGGCCGGAGAGTTGTTGAGGAGGGAGGCCGGAGAGGAGGACTGCGTGGAGGGCCCGGTAGTTCTCTGAGGTGGGGGAGTTGGTGGCTGTGGTGCCGGAGCTCCGAGTAGTTGCCGCCGGAGGCAGCCCGGCGATTGTTGGAGGGCGGGCAGGTAGTTGTGGGGGGCAGAGGGGTTCTGGGTATTGTCTGCGTTAGAGGGACCTGTGCCGGGGCAGTTGTGGAGAGAGCAGAGCAGCGAGGCGAGCTGGGGAGTTGTAGGGGGCGGTGGGGCGGGGTGGGGGAGGCGGGCTGGTCGGCGAGGGTTAGAGCCTGGGAGTTGCGGAGGGCGAGGGGGGCCCGGGGAGGTGCCGTGGGGAAGAGTGGCCGGCTGGGGGGAGGGGGCTGGAGTTCAGGGGTCCCGCAGCCCAGGGACTTGGTGAGTCCGGGGGCGGAGGGGGGGGCGGCGGCCGCCGGAGAGAGCTCGGAACAGGGCCCGGGGGCCCGGCGGGGGGCCCGGGGGCCCGGCGGGGAGCCCGAGGAGCTCGAGACGGGGAGGGGCCAAAGCCCCGGATGGGGGCGGAGGGACGGCGAAATTGTGGGGAGCGCGGCTTGGGGGGGCAGGTGGGGCCGCGTCCGGGTGGGAGCTGCAGGGTCTGTCCCGGCCGCGAAGTAGCGCTGGCTGTGGGAGCCTGTGTGTGTGTTTGGGGTGGGGGTGAGGGGCGCGCCGGGCCTCGTGCTCGAGTGCAAGGAGCCGGAGGGCGGGGAGCGGTTCAGCGTGGTCATCCCGGACCCTGGGGGCCTCCCGGCGGCTTGTGCGGTCCCTGAGGGCCCAGGGCGGCAGAGCGCAGCCGAATCGGAACTCGGGGCTCCGGGCGCGTGTGCAGGACCGGGCGGGCGGTGGCCCGGGCTCGGGCCTGGAGCGGTATGGCGGGGTGGGGCGCTGGGAGATCCCAGTAGACTGGAGTCCAGAGAAACCGTGAGTTGGGGGGGCGGGGCGCCGGGCCGCCGGTGGGGGGGAGGGGAGCGCTATAGCGAGGCCGGCTCCGCCTCTCCTGGGGCGGAAGGGGGAGCAGGGGCGGGTCCAGCACACCCGGGAGGGGGGGGCTGTTGGTGTGGCGCAGAGACCCGGGAGAGGAGGGGGTCGCTTGAGAGCGCCGAGGTTTGGAGGTGCGGCTTTCCAGCGTCCTAGTGCCTTGACTCAGCTTTTATTGCTTCCGCAGATCCACCTCCGACTCTGAAGCCCGAGACGCAGGTGAGGTCTCCTGCCTTTGCAGGCCAGGTCGCGCCTCCCCCATGCCCCCGCCTCACTTTGGGAATGCGCCCCTCAGACTGGCTGCCCTGTGATCCACCTTTCCTTCCTTTCAGCCACCAGAGAAACGGCGGAGGACAATTGAGGACTTCAACAAATTCTGCAGCTTTGTCCTGGCCTACGCGGGTTACATCCCCCCTAGCAAAGAGGTAGGGACGGAGCCGCTGGCTGGAGGCCGGTGATGTCCTAGGACTGTCGTGCAGAGCGTGTTCCTTCTCAGATTCTCTGTTGGCTGAGAAAACTGGAGGCAGTTAGGACTGGTGGGAAGGCGGGTGGAGTAGCTGGGCAGTAGAGATTTCCTGGCTTGAGCGGCAGCTGGTGATGGAGGGGTTTGGACAGCTTGGTCAGGACTTTGGGATGGTCATGGGGTTCTGTTAATGGGTAAGTTTAAGGAAGCCGAAAGTGGTAACAAAGGAAGGTGTACAGTAACAGCTAAAGAAATGGGGCCAGGGCGATACAATGTTCCCAAAGACCTGAGCCAGGGAGCAGTGGGGAGAGTGACCAGAACAGGAGGGGACAGAGCAAGAGGACCCCCACGGGGACTGGGGGAGGGACAGGTTGCCCGAGCAGGCTGGCGTGGTTGGGGGTAGGGCTAAGCCTTGGCGTTCAGGCTAGGTTTGTGGAGGGGCTGAGAAGACACTGGGCTCCCGCTGACCCTAGTCTCTGCATCCTTTTAAGGAAAGTGACTGGCCAGCCTCTGGCTCGAGCTCTCCACTGCGAGGTGAGAGTGCAGCCGACAGCGATGGCTGGGACTCGGCTCCCTCAGATCTTCGAACCATTCAGACCTTTGTTAAGAAAGCAAAGTCATCCAAGAGAAGGGCGGCTCAAGCAGGGCCCACCCAGCCAGGACCCCCAAGGTCCACTTTCTCTCGTCTGCAGGCCCCCGACAGTGCCAGCCTGCTTGAGAAGATGAAGCTCAAGGACTCTCTGTTTGATCTGGATGGCCCTAAAGTAGCATCTCCGCTGGCTCCCACAGCCCTGACACACCCCTCCCGGCCCCCCGCCGCCCTCACCCCAGTGCCCCTTGCCCAGGGGGACCTCTCCCAGCCCCCTCGAAAGAAGGACCGAAAGAACAGAAAGTTGGGGCCCGGTGGGGGGGCTGGCTTTGGGGTTCTCCGGAGGCCTCGACCGGCTCCTGGGGATGGGGAAAAGAGGTCTCGGATCAAGAAGAGCAAGAAGCGGAAGTTGAAAAAGGCAGAGCGGGGGGATAGACTCCCACCTCCTGGGCCTCCCAGGGCACCCCCCAGTGACACAGACTCTGAAGAGGAGGAGGAGGAAGAGGAAGAAGAGGAGGAGGAAGAGATGTCAGTAGTGGTAGGGGATGAAGCCCCAGCCCCTGTGCTCCCCACACCCTCTGAGGCCCCCAGGCCCCCTACCACAGTGCACCCCGAAGGCGCCCCTCCCACCGACAGTGAAAGCAAGGAGGTGGGCAGCACTGAAACAAGCCAGGATGGAGATGCCAGCTCCAGCGAAGGCGAGATGCGGGTCATGGACGAGGACATCATGGTGGAATCAGGTGAGGTGGGGGCTGCCTGGGCAGCGGGGACGGTGGGGTGCGGGGTGTTTGGATCCAAGAGCACAGGCAGGACATCCAGCAAACCTTCTTTCCCCAGGTGATGACTCATGGGACCTGATCACGTGTTACTGCCGGAAGCCCTTCGCAGGGCGGCCCATGATCGAGTGCAGCCTATGTGGGACGTGGATCCACCTCTCCTGTGCTAAGATTAAGAAGACCAATGTCCCTGACTTCTTTTATTGCCAGAAATGCAAGGAACTGCGGCCTGAGGCGCGGCGGTTAGGGGGGCTTCCCAAATCTGGAGAGCCCTGACACTGCCAACTCCAGGCTGGAACTGGCAAGTGACGATTCGGGAACTGAGCCTCGGGGGCTTCAGCCCATCCCCTGGAGTCTGGATGTGGTCCCCGCTTCAAGGCAGGAACGCCCAAGGCAGACTTCGGAAATGAGTCTCACGGTCCCTCCCTCCCCTCCCTCCCCAGCCTGTGGACTGGAGTGGACGTTGCGTTGGGCGTGGGAGGCTGTCGGGGGCCCCGGATGCAGCATCTTGGACCTGCCAGGGTTGGAATTGGGATGGACTGGGACAGCTGTCTATAAACTCTAGTGTAAATATAGCATTCCCCTCCCTCATCTTTTATTTTACTCCCAATTTATTTTCTTCTACACCGGTTGTATTTTTAATGTTGGACTTCCTCTTTCGAGCGTGGCGGCTCAGAGGTGGAGTGAGCCTGGCCAAGCGAGCAAGGAGAGCGGCAAGGTGACGGTCCTCACGCACCTCTTGTTTTTACTACTGGCCAGCCGTTTGTACAGACAGCCTGCGTGTTGTAAATAAAGCAGAGTGGGCTCTTTGTGTTTCTAGCCCTCCCTGACTGTCCTGCTTGGGGGGAGGCTCTGGGGGAGCTGGCCGCAGGGCACAAACCCACCTCGGCGTCCGGGCCTTCCCGCGCCGGGACACAACCCCAGGGGCTCCGTCGGCTTCTTCCCTCCACGCGCGCCCGCGGTCCCGCTGCTCCTGCACGGACGGTCGTGCGCAGTCGCTTCGCGTTCCCGCCCGGACGGCGCAGGGCGCCCCCCACCCCGAAGACGGAGGTCCCCAGGACACGGTGCCAGCCGGGAGGACCTCCGGTGGGGGATACGCTCGGGGGCGGAGTGGGTCGGGGCTGGGAGACCGTTGCTGAAGGCAGCGGTCACGTGGAGGGAGCGCTGGGAGGAGCCGAGTAGTCACGTGATGGCGGAGGGGTCACGTGGCGAAGGGCGGTGCAGGGAGCGCGAGGTGGGCGGGCTCGGGCCACGTGACATGAGGCGAGGTGGGCGGGGCCCTGGAGGGCGCTCGCGACGTCGGCGGCGGTGGCGCGCGGCGGCTGAGTGCGCCGCTCCGGGGCGCGTCGCGCGGCCCGCCACCCTGCCGCACCCCGCCGCCTCCCCGCTGCCCCACGCCCACACTGGCTCTGTCGCGTCCGCGCTCCGGTCGGGGTTCGAGTGTGCGCAGGCGCGGCGGGCAGCAGATAGCCCCACTGGGTGGGCGGCGGAGCCCGGGAGCGCGCGGGCGAGACCATGGCGGGCAGCAGCACGGGGGGCGGAGGCGTCGGGGAGACGAAGGTGATTTACCACCTGGATGAGGAGGAGACTCCCTACCTGGTGAAGATCCCAGTCCCCGCCGAGCGCATCACCCTTGGAGACTTCAAGAGCGTTCTGCAGCGGCCCGCGGGTGCTAAGTACTTTTTCAAGTCCATGGATCAGGATTTCGGGTGAGCGCGAGGCCTAGCCTGGGACTGACGGGGGCTGTACCCGCACGGATGGGGCGTTCTGCAGGGGGCACGGGTCTGCTCTGGGTTACACGGGTTTTCTGGCCTCCAGTGGATCGGATTGTGCCACACTGAGGCAGAGTGGCCGTCCCAGGACGGACAAGGTTATGCCTGGACAGATGGATGCACACGGAGCGATAAAGTGGAGAAGATTGGGCCATATGGAATAGGTGGGGGCGCGTAGGTTGGTTTTGGGGTGGTCGGGACTGAGCGTTTTCCTGTAGCACACAGCTTGTGTGGAGACAGCCTGCAGTCTCTTGACATAGCTGGGCTTGTGTTGGCGGCAGTTGGAACGTTGTGGCAGAGACAGGATTGTTTGGGGACTCCATGGAGTGTATGCATGCTAATGCAAAAAAAAAAAAAAAAAAGTTGCGGTGTTCTAGGCTGCCTTGGAGTGGGCTACTGGACGGGCTTGGGTCATTCTGGTCTCTTGGTTGATCCTAACCTAATAACTCTTCTTCGGCACGCATCGGGGCACTTAGTACAGGGCAGATAAGGCTGTTGGGGCTTTTGCTAATACAGACAGCTGTATTGGGATAGTCTAGTCTATATTGGTGCAGACAGCTGCATGCAGGGACGTTGTAGGCTGTGCTAGAATAGATTGGGCTATCCTGGGGTAATTTGGGGATTCCTGGACTAGACTGGGACTGTAAATAACATACTCGAAGCCCTTTTGTTTTTCTCACTTTGGGGAATGACCACTCTTGGTTTGACCGCTCGGTTGTTTCACTGGCTGGCTAGATTGTGTTGATGGCTTGGATTTTAGGGGGACGGAACAAACTGGACTCTGCCTAAAAAGGTCGTTCAGCGTGGGGAGAGTGACAGTTGTCTTGGGAGTTATCTTGGGCTTAAATCAAAGCTCTTGGATTGGTCAGCAGTGTAATCTTGGGCAATTTCATTTACCTTTGTGCGTTGATTTTTCTCACATTTGAGATAATCACAGAGTGAAATGCTTAGTTCCCGCGCTTGGCACATGGGAAATTCTTGGGGCGTGGTCATCGTCGTCCTTGGCGTTGAGGCCCACAGGTCCACAAACTCGGTTGTGGTGATACAGAATAGCCTGCCGTGGAGTGGGTTGAGCTGTGCCAAGATGGGTTATATTGGGAGAACACTAATTACACTGAAACAGATTGGTAGTGGCTGGGCCCTGTTGTCCCATAACTAGCAAATGGATTCAGTTGGTGTATATACACACTCCCAGAGGCATATTAGGCTAAAGGGTTAATCAGACAAGATGTTCTGATTTGGGGAGGGAAGAGGGTGTGTTTGTGAGACAGAGGAGAAACCAGAGAATCTATTGGTTTGTGTGTTTTGTTTGTTTAGTCAACAAGTGTTAATGCTGCGTGGTCAGGACGTGGTGTACAACAGAATGGGTGCTGCTGATTGCAAGGGGTGGTTGAGAAGAAAGGGGGGCAAGTCCAGTCCACTACAGGGAACACAGGGGAGCTGGTGGGGCTTTGGGGTCTTGAGACCCAGCATGTTGTTGAGAGCAGAGTTCTTCCAGGGGAGGCACAGGGGAACGGGAAGCCTGGCTTCCTCTCTTCTTCCCAGCTCTCAGCCTAAGGAGATGCTGTTGGTTCCTCTAATGGGCTTTTGTCCCCTGACAAAGACAGCACATCTGGACCACTCTCTGGAAGTGGATTAGAAAAAACTAAAGGGAAGTGGGAGAGTAGAAGCTTGTATGAGGTTGGGGAAGGTGTGTACGGAACAGGGCTGGGTTTGGGGACGGCTGCCAGCAAGGCTCACTGGCAACCAGGTAACCACAGGGGTTGGCCTTCCAGTCATGCTGCAGGAAGTCTTTGGAGCAGCATTGCCCCTGAGGGCCAGCTGGGGCGAGCAGGCGAAACGCGGTGGGAGTGGGGTTTGGAGGTTGTTTCCCTAGGAGAGAGGGGGAACGAAGCAGGGGGTGGCCGGCATCCTTGAGCTGGGTGAAGACGGAGAAGCTGGCGGCGGGGGTGGCTGACCCAGCCTCGCTGACCTCGTCCTGTCTCCCGGCAGGGTGGTGAAGGAAGAAATTTCAGATGACAATGCCCGCCTGCCCTGCTTCAACGGAAGGGTGGTATCCTGGGTAAGGGCCCATTCCCTCTGGGTTCCCAGGCTGCTCCCAGCCTCATCTGTCTGTAGCCTCTCCCTGCCCTCATTGCCCTGGCCCTTTGCCTCCCTCCCTGTTTGGAGAGCCAGTGGGAGCCCCTCGGCTTTCTTCTGGAGCCTCTGCCATGAGGGGGCTTCAAAAACGTTCATGGGAAATGCATAGTATGAGAAAAGGATGCGTGGGCTTCAAAACAGGGTGCGTGGGCATGCGTCAAAATAAAGTTATTATTACTTTTTTTTTTTTTTTTTTTTGACAGAGTGGGCAGTGAGAGAGAGAGACAGAGAGAAAGGTCTTCCTTTGCCGTTGGTTCACCCTCCAATGGCCGCCGCGGCCGGCACGCTGCAGCCAGTGCACCGTGCCTATCTGCAGGCAAGAGCCAGGTGCTTCTCCTGGTCTCATGCAGGTGCAGGGCCCAAGCACTTGGGCCATCCTCCACTGCACTCCCGGGCCACAGCAGAGAGCTGGCCTGGAAGAGGGGCAACCGGGACAGAATCCGGCGCCCTGACCGGGACTAGAACCCGGTGTGCCAGCGCCGCAAGGCAGAGGATTAGCCTACTGAGCCGCGGCGCCGGCCTATTGTTACTTTTAAAAATGTATTTGAGAGACAGCATCTCCCATCTGCTCATGCATTCCTCAAATTCTGGCAAAGGCCTGGGCTGGGCCAGGCTGAACTGGGCACTCAATCTGGGTCTCCCGTGTGGGTGGCAGGGACGCAAGCGCTTGAGCCATCCCTGCTGCCTCCCTGGGTGCGCATTAGCAGGAAGCTGGAATCGAGCCAGAGCCTGGTTTTGAACCACGGCCGTCTGATAGGGGACACAGGCAGCTTAACTGCTAGGTCAAACGCACACCATCACTTGTCTTTTAAGTCCGGTTTCCATGCACTTTTTGAAGTCCCCTTGTATTTGGCTCTTCTCCATACTCCACAAAACCCCATCCGCTTTCTGATCCTCTCCCGACTCCCATCCTCCACCCATCTCCCAGTTGAGCTGCCTTCTGTCATTTACGTTTGTCTAGCTAGTGTCGTCAGATAACCCCCAGCCTGAGACGGCCCCCCCGGCCCACGAGCCGCGGACAGAACTGGCGCCTCCACCCCCACCTTTACCTCCTCTACCCCCAGAGAGGACCAGTGGCATTGGGGACTCAAGGCCTCCATCCTTCCAGTGAGTTCTCGGGATTCTTGAGCACAGGGGAGGGAGGTGTAGCGGCCCCTTGGTTCTGATGTGGGTTGGAAACCGTCTCCGCCCCTCTAGCCCTAATGTGTCCAGCAGCCATGAGAACCTGGAGCCAGAGACAGAAACGGAGTCCGTGGTGTCCCTGAGGCGGGAGCGGCCCCGCCGGAGGGACAGCAGCGAGCATGGCGGTGAGGGAGGCTGGGCAGAGGGGAGGCGACGAGGGGCGGGCCCCTTGATGAGACCCCTCCTGAGGTCCCTGTTCCTGCTCAGCTGGGGGCCACAGGCCCAGTGGCCCCTCGAGGCTGGAACGCCACCTGGCTGGGTACGAGAGCTCCTCCACCCTCATGACCAGTGAGCTGGAGAGTACCAGCCTGGGGGACTCGGATGAGGACGACACCATGAGCAGGTGCGGCTCCACACGATGCCCCCCACCCCCGTGCTCTGGCGCCCCCGCCGCCCTGGCCTACAGGTCTCCCCCTCCCCGATCCTGACAGGTTCAGCAGCTCCACGGAGCAGAGCAGCGCCTCCCGCCTCCTCAAGCGCCACCGGCGGCGGAGGAAACAGCGGCCTCCGCGCATGGAGAGGGTGAGGGTTCCTCCAGGGGCACCTGGGGCTGGGAGAGGGCGGGCGGGGCCTCGGGCTAGGCCGTGGTAGGGCTTACTCTTGGGTTTTCGAAAGGCGGTCCAGCCCCCCCATTCTCCCACCACAGACCTCGTCCTTTAGCAGCGTCACGGACTCCACCATGTCCCTCAACATCATCACAGTCACGCTCAACATGGGTACGGGGGCGTCGTGCGAGGCTGGGCGGAAGTGGGCACAGCCAGCCTGCAGGACTCAGGGGCTTCCCTGCCTCACCTGAGCTCCCTCCACAGAGAAGTACAACTTCCTGGGAATCTCCATTGTGGGCCAAAGCAACGAGCGGGGAGACGGAGGCATCTACATCGGCTCCATCATGAAGGGCGGTGCCGTGGCGGCCGACGGGCGCATCGAGCCGGGGGACATGCTCTTGCAGGTGAGCTGGGCCAGGGCCGCCGGGCTCCCGTGGGCGGGGCTCCCTGCCCTGCGTGCGACCCGCTTCCCCTCACGCCCAGGTGAACGACATGAACTTTGAGAACATGAGCAACGATGATGCCGTGCGGGTGCTGAGGGACATCGTCCACAAGCCCGGGTGAGCCCCGCGCTGGTCCCGGTCCCCCGTCCCCTCGCTTTCGTTTGGTCATTTTAAATACTGGTGAGACGTAAGGCTCGATGTACGTGAAGCAGAAATGCGCAAGGTGACAGATAATTCTAGAGTGAAAACCCAGGCCGCCACTCCCTCACGCCTGAAGTGCAAGGTTGCCCGTGCCCCTCTGCCCCTTGGGGTAGTCACTCTCCTGACTTCTGCGGCCCAGAGAAAAATCTGTGTTTCACTCGATACTTTCACCACCCATGCACGCATCCTCCAACAGCGGGGCTGAGTGCCACCTGTTGTGGGACTTCCTGGGAGTGGTCTTGCGCGGTGGGCGGTGTCCTGTCTCGCTCAGCCGTATGACCCAGGAGTCCTCCACATGGGTGAGTCAGCCGCAGTGTGGAGCCTTGCATGCTCACTTTCTCTGGCCTGGCCATGTGCCTGCTTTTTTCTTCTCACTCTTTCTGCTCCTTAATCCACTTTTGTTGCAGGCCTTGGCTCTCCCGAGGCCTCCACCCTGCCCACCCCTAACTGGCCATCTCCTCCCACAGCCCCATCGTGCTGACTGTGGCCAAGTGTTGGGATCCCTCTCCCCAGGCCTATTTCACCCTCCCCCGAAGTAAGTGACGTCCAGGGAAGAGAACAGGCAGTGCGGAGGCTGGGCTGGGCTCTAGGCTGTGGAGAAGGGGCGGAGGAGGGTCAGGCACAGATGGACTCTGAGCTTGGAGGGACGGGCCTGGCTTTCTGGGATGGGAAGTGACAATCTTGGTGGCGCTCTCTGTCTCAGATGAACCCATCCAGCCGATTGACCCTGCCGCCTGGGTGTCGCACTCTGCCGCGCTGACTGGCACCTTCCCAGCCTATCCCGGCTCCTCATCCATGAGCACCATTACATCCGGGCCCTCCCTGCCTGATGGTGAGCCCCCCCTCCACATCCCCGGGAGCCGCATCCCTGGGGGTGGGAGCCCCACCCCTAATTCTCCATTGTCTCCTCTGTCAGGCTGTGAGGGCCGGGGTCTCTCCATCCACACAGACATGGCATCTGTGACCAAGGCCATGGCAGCCCCAGAGTCCGGGCTGGAAGTCCGCGACCGCATGTGGCTCAAGATTACCATCCCCAATGCCTTTCTGGGTACGCTGGGCCCTGGGCAGGTGGCAGGGGAGGAGAGGAAGAGGAGAGAACCCAAGCTGGGCATGGCGCAGGCAGGGTGGTGGCAAGGGCTGGCCGGAGAACCTGAGGCCCTTTTGCCCTGTGGGTGACCCAGGCTCGGACGTGGTCGACTGGCTCTACCATCACGTGGAGGGCTTCCCTGAGCGGCGGGAGGCGCGCAAGTACGCCAGCGGGCTGCTCAAGGCAGGCCTGATCCGGCACACCGTGAACAAGATCACCTTCTCTGAGCAGTGCTATTACGTCTTTGGTGACCTCAGTGGCGGCTGTGAGAGTTGTAAGTTCTTCTGCCCGCCTGGCTGGGGGCGGGGCTGGCGTCCACTCAGGTTCTGCTAGACAAGCTGTTCACCGGGGTGGCCAGGGGCACCTCTTCCACGTCCCACAACAGCGCATGGGCTGCTGGTGCCCTGGCTGTGCCCTGCCCTGAAGCAGTAGTAGGTAGAGTTTCCAAGACCCTGTAACCCCCTCTCCACCCATGTCACAGGTGGTCCTGGGGCTGTGGTTCCCGCCAGAATTTCCGTCCAGCATTCTAGGGTCCTGGCCTCCCAGGCAGTGACCTCTTCATCCCTTCCCTTGTTCTCCAGACCTCGTCAACCTGTCTCTGAATGACAACGATGGCTCCAGTGGGGCGTCAGACCAGGACACCCTGGCTCCTCTGCCTGGGGCCACCCCCTGGCCCCTGCTGCCCACCTTCTCCTATCAGTATCCAGCCCCACACCCCTACAGCCCCCAGCCCCCACCCTACCACGAGCTTTCGTCCTACACCTACGGAGGGGGCAGTGCCAGCAGCCAGCACAGTGAAGGTAAGCCGCCCCCAGATACCAGCACGTGCAGGGCGGAGAAAAGGGAAACCAGGAGAGCTGGAGCAGGGGCTGGCGAGGCCAGAGGACCCTGGGTCCCGGGCTCAGTTGTCCCACCCCTCTTCCCCCAACAGGGAGCCGGAGCAGCGGGTCTACACGAAGCGACGGGGGGGCTGGGCGCACAGGGAGGCCTGAGGAGCGGGCCCCCGAGTCCAAGTCCGGCAGTGGCAGTGAGTCGGAGCCCTCCAGCAGGGGGGGCAGCCTTCGCCGGGGCGGGGAACCTGGTGGGACTGGCGATGGGGGTCCTCCCCCGTCCAGGGGCTCCACAGGGGGTGCTTCCAATCTCAGAGCCCACCCAGGACTCCATCCCTACGGACCACCCCCTGGCATGGCCCTCCCGTATAATCCCATGATGGTGGTCATGATGCCCCCGCCCCCACCCCCTGTCCCTCCAGCGGTACAGCCCCCAGGGGCCCCTCCGGTCAGAGACCTGGGTTCCGTACCCCCAGAACTGACAGCCAGCCGCCAGAGCTTCCACATGGCCATGGGCAACCCCAGCGAGTTCTTTGTGGACGTTATGTAGAGCCGTTGGGGCCATGTCTGACTCCTCGGTGCTCCTGCTCGGTGGCTGCTGTCTGCCAGTCGCGCACCTGTTACTCCCCACAGTGCCTGGGCTCAGCCTGGCGGCTGCCGCCCACCCTAAACTTACTGCCACTGTGACTCACCAGCAGTGCCTGGTCCCTTCCCCTCCCGCAGGGGTACACAAGGGACCTGTGGTTACTCTTAGCTTTATTATTTTTTTATAAACTTTTTTGGGGTTTAAAGTATACTTTGTTACATTTTGGGGACTATTTTTTTAATAGACATTTCCTTTTTTATATGAAGAATTCCCATTTCCTGGACCCTTTCTTCTAACCCCAGAATGTGGCCTCCTCCAGTCACTCCGTTGGCTCTACCCTACGCAGGGTGGGGAGTGGTCCATGGTACCCTGGGAGGAGAAGGGGTTTGGGCCCCCCAGACAGCAGGCCAAGGAAGCTGGGGTATTTGGTACTGGGGCCGTGTAGCTGCCTTTGTTATTCTATTTATTTTAGTCACTTGTATAAAACACCAAATAAAGCAATAGAGGCAAACTCCCCAGGCCTCTGGTTCTTTCTTTGGGAGGGAGGTAGGCAGTGGAGGGAAAGACCCGAGACATAGTAGCCAAGTCTGACTTGTTAGAAACTGTATTTGTGAGGCAGCGCTCCTGAGAGCAGGCACAGTTCTGGGAATACGAGGCCCCCCTCAGGGTCCTGGCAGGGGGCCTGGCTTTAGCTTGAGAGAAGGCACTGATGGGCCAGACCCTGGGTGAGAATGCTCAGACGCCAAGGGGGCGGCTGGTGACCACGCCACCCTGCTCCACCAGCGCCGTGGAGATGCTTCGGAAGTTCCGGAAGAGCTCCTGCTGCTGGGGGTCGGACTGCAGAGCGGCCATGCTCTCCCGGATGCGGGCAGCAGCCTGTGCGGGGGGAGGGGGTTCAGGCCCGTGCCTCAAGCCCCCCCCGCAGCATTTGGTAGTCCGCAGCATTTGGTAGCCGTAGCCCCAAGCCTCACCTCAATACACCAGCTGTCACAGAGTATTTTCTCGTGCTGGGCTGTAGGGTAGCCCTCGTTCAGGGCTCGTGAGGCCCTGGTTGAAAGCAGGAGAAAGTAAATCCAATCTGGGCTATGCCGCTGACCCTGGTGGGCCTCTCCGCACCCACCGCTTCCTCACCTGGAGAGAACCACCACCATGGCGTACAGGTCGATGGCCCCGTCTGCCAGCCGCTGCAGCACAAACTGCTCATCTGTCAGGTGGGTGGGAAGGGGGCGGGGCGTCAGTCTGAGCCAGAGCATGGAGGGGAGGCTGGGGGGGGGCTCACTCACTGACGATCCCCTTCTTGTGCTTTATCAGCTTGGCCTCCACCACAGCGGCAAACTGCTCCAGAGCCCGCACTGCCTGAGGACAGGGAGAAGGCACCCAGGGCTCAGAGGGACAGCCTGGGGCCAGGCGGGCCCCGCCCCGCCCCGCCCTGCCCCGCCCGACGGCTTACCAGCTCACCACTCCGATTCAACTCTGGGTGCACAATCCCGCTGAGACTCAGGCCGCTGCCCAGCCCTGCCCGCCTTGGAGGAGGGGAGAATGACTGGTTAGTGGGCACTCACCCCACCCCACCCCCCGGCCCTACCTGAAGCCCACCTCCTTAGCTGTTTGCCCGCCTCCCCTATCAGGAGGCCAGCATTCCCAAAGGGGTTCTTCAGAGCATTGCCGAGCCCAGAGAGTTCCTTTCCTTTGTCCTGTGGGGAGGAGGGGCCGCAGTCAGAACTCCCGGTCAGCACCCCCCCCCAGCTCCCCTTCTCTCTTACCATGCAGCCTTGCAGAGCCACAAACAGCCGGAGGATGTCGTTTGTCCCCTCAAAGATCCGGAAGATTCGAACGTCGCGGAGCACACGCTCGACCCCTGCCTCCTACCACAGGGAAGACAGCTCCTCAGCCCCGCTGGGTGGTGCGGCGCTTCCCACCACCGCGGCTGCCCCCGCAGGAGACCGGCCCGCACCTTCATGAAGCCCATGCCCCCCATGATCTGGATGCACTCGTCCGTCACCGTCCAGGCTGCCTCCTAGAGAAGAGAGCCAGAGATGACTTAGAGCTGCGTCCTCACATTGGACTTTCCCTCCCAGCACGCCTGGGACCTCACCGAGCCAAAGATCTTGCTGATGGCGGCCTCTATCTGGAAGTCCGTGAATCCCTGGTCCATGTTGGCACTCAGCATGTAAGCCATGGACTGAGGTGGCGTGGTTGGGATGTGGGAAGGAAAATTGGAAAGGGCTATATCAGACTTGCCTTCATCTCCCAAATCTCCCAGGACCGAGTCCGGCCTGGCGCTCCAGGCTCCCTGTGTTCGCCTTCTAACATGGTGGTCAGCTCAGGCGCGCAGAAGTATTTGGCCCCTGAGTCAGTCCACCAGTGGCTTCTAGGCGGCTGACTTGTTGGAAGGGGTGGAGGTGCGGGCAGAATGAACGCCTGGAGCCCTGGGACGCACCTCCGCAGAACAGCACTGCTCTCCCCCTGCAGAAGCTGAGCTGGCTGTGCCTCCCCGCATCCCCTAGGGCATTGGTGTAAAGCTGGAGACCCACTGCCCCAGGTGCTGCTGGGGGTCGTAGTCTGACCCACTGGAAGAAAGCCACAAGGCCTCCAGGGAGAGGGGCGTGGGGGCCCTCACCTCAGTCACGTACTGCAGAATAGCCATCCGGGCCAGCTTCTCCTGGATCAGCCCAAAGTTGTGAATTTTGTCCCCAAACTGGGTACGGTTAGCAGCATGCTCCACCTGGAAGAGGGCACACGTGTCCCACTGCGGTTCTGCAGTCTGCCCAGCAGAGTGGCTGGGCTCGGGCTGTGGTCCAGACTGGGAGTTCAGTCCACACTGGAAGGACACCTAAGCAGCTGCTGCTGCTGGGGAGGGCTCTCTGGAGGTGGGAGCACCTGCCTGCAAGGGAACAGGGACACATGGAAAGGAGGCAGGGGACTCACTTGGGCGGCCCGGTATCCGCAGGCAGGGTACCCACCGCCTTAGCAATGATGGCTCTCATGGTGCCTGCCAGGGTCGCGGCCATGCCAAACCTTCCATTGTTGAGGATGTTCACGGCGACCTTGAAGCCGCCCCCGACCTCGCCCAGCACGTTCTCTGAGGGCACCCGTACTCCATCAAAGTTCACCTCCGCTGTGTTCGAGGCCTTGATGCCCATCTTCTTCTCAGGGGCCCCGCTGCGACAGGGCAGGGTGGACAGCAGAGGTGTGTTCAGCATGTTGTCCCTTCATTCCTCATGACCCGGGGAGGAACTGTAATTCCTAGACTGTAAGAGGGTGCGGGCAGCACCTCCACGTGCCCCCAGGGCCCAGGAGGCCTGGCTGTGTCCTGCTACTCTGGGCCTTGGCTGCAGTAGCCAGAGCTATGAGGTCAGTTCTGTACCTGTTTATCCCAAAGGGGAAAGCTGTGTACCCGCCTTGGCTTTTGCACACACAACCCCAGGGTGATGTGTGATAGCCATTTGCCCTAAGTCCAGTCCTGCCGCCCTCCCCGGCCTTGCCTCTTCTTCCCGAGACCCACTCACTGGGTAACACCTTCAAAACCCTTCTCCACCACAAAGGCTGTGATCTTCTCCTTCACAGCCCCTGTGGCTGCGTCTGTGATTGGTGTCTTGGCAAAGACCGTGAAGATGTCTGCCAGGCCCCCGTTACTGTGGAAGAAAGAGGGTGGTCAGAGCACAGAGTGGGCAGAGGCGGCAGCCGGGTGAAGTGAGAGGAAGAGTACCTGATCCAAATCTTGCTTCCAGTGAGCGTATAATATTTCCCACAGGGGCTGGGCACAGCTGAGCTCTGGATCGAGGCTGCGTCTGACCCACTTGAGGGTTCAGTTAGACAGAAAGCTGCCAAAGTCTCCCCTGTGGAGAGAATGCCTTCACCCTAAGTCCCGCCAGCCATCCAAGTCCCCTCAGCCCTCTCCTGCCGGGGACTGGTCCCCTGCACGCCTCTGGCCATGGCCTGTTCCTGTGCTTTTCCGTACAGCCTCCCTGGAGCCTCCCCCAGCTGACATGCCTCATCGTGCAAGCCCAGGGCACCCCCAGGCCTCGTCTCCCAGGGCAGCCTCACCAGTTGCCAGCTTGGGGAGGTATTTCTCTTTCTGGGCCTTTGTGCCAAAGAGTAGGATGCCTTTGAAACCGATGCTCTGATGAGCCCCGAGAGTGACGGCCACACCAAGGTCATACATGCCCACGATCTCTGCCAAGCGAGCATACTGTGGGGAAAGCAGGCATCTGGGCTTGTGATTGGCTGTGTGGGGACTTGGCCTTGCAGGAGAGTCTGGGTAACAGGGCAGGGCCTGACCTGGGCCATTCCCTCCAGAGTGAGGGTGGGGAGAGGATGCCAGACCATACAGAGGGTCTGAGCCTGTTCTAGGTTGGGGAGGGGGACTTCCCACTACCGTGGTGTTAGGCAGTCCCCAAGGGCTTGGGAATCAGGTCATGGCCATATGGGCCTGTGTGCAGACTGGATTATGGTGGTTTTTTTTTTTTTTTTTTTTTTATTGGAGGAAGGTGGGATATGGCTGGGAAAGTCAACAGGCCACAAGAGCAGCTGCAGTTAGCTGTGGGGGGAGCTGAATGGGCCAGGCCGGAGGCGCCTGGAATACGGGGAAGTGAGGAGGGGCGCTCACCTGTGTGTTGCAGAGGCCCACACCGCCCAGCTCGCTAGGCACTTGCAGACCGAAGGCCCCCAGCTCCTTGAGGCCCTGCAGAGTGGTCTCCTCCACCAGCTCCAGAGCGTCATTCTTGGCAGGGCTGTTCACCTCCTGCGGAAGAGAAGGACCTCAGGGCCTTGACATCTGTGCCCCCTGCCCGGGCCCCAGTCATTGCTCACCTCAAAGAAACGAGACACGGGTCCCACCAGCTCTTTGAGAAACTGTGTCTGCTCCTCGTTGAGCACTGTGGGGGCGGGGAGAGGGACAGGTCGGCCAGGTGAGGTAGGGCAGCCGGCCAGAGTCCCCACCCAGCTCTGACTACCCCTTCCCTCACCTGACGGGTACGGGAACACCTGGGTGGTGATGAGCTGGCCTTTGAACATCCCTACAGCAAAGGACCTAGATTCCTGGCCAGAAAGAACAGCGGGGCTCTGGAGAGCTGGCTGGGGTGGGTGTGCCCTGGTGTAGGTCCTCCCAACCTCGAAGCCACATACCGGCTTGGCCTGGTTTTCCCTGGTCGCAGCATCAGAGGAGGGGGGCTCTTTCTGCACAGCCGCCTGGGGAGAGGGGGTGCCGATTTGCCAAGGGGAGCACAGGGGAAGAGCTGGGTGTGAGGCTTGAGCTGATCCCGTGCCTTTCCCCTAGTTTCATCCCAGGGCATCCCGGTTTGCCCTTTCCCCTACTTTCCCAGCCAAAGCTGTCAGCAGGTGACTGGCACGGGGAGGGAGACCCCTGCCGGCCGCGGGGAGGCGGGAGCCCCTCTCCCGAGGCCGCCGTCACTTACCTGAGCGGCCTCACTGGCATAGAGTCGCTGGGCAGGACCAGGCCGGGGCTGCCCCAGGAACGCACTGGGCCGCGAGCTGTGAAGAGCAGGGGTTCGG